GTGAAGCACCAAACAAAGCCTTTGATGAAGCTCAGATGGCTAGGTTAACATCGTGAGGAGGCTCAGATATGGAGAACCACTTTGGGGTCTGAGACTGGGAGAGCTGCGTAATGGCCAAGTTATGTGGGTTATCTTAAAAAAGACTTTACCAGCTGGGCTTGGTGGCTCAGCCTGTAATCCCAGCACTTTGGGAGGCTGAGGTGAGTGGACTGCCTGAGCCCACAGGTTCAAGACCCGCCTGGGCCTCGATGATGTAGAGATCTCATCTCTACAATAAAATCAAAAATTAGCTGGGCATGGTAGCGCGCGCCTGTAGTTCCAGCTACTTGGAAGGCTGAGGCAGAAGGATCGCCGGAGCCCGGCAGGTTGAGGCTGCAGAGACCAGGAGCGGCCACTGCACTCCAGTCTGGGTGACAGAGTGAGACTCCAACTCAAAAAAAAAAAAAAAAGACTTTACTAACACACACACACCCCAGATACAGGTTTCTAGAACACAGAGGACTCTGGAGCCAGAGATCAATAAGCAGGTAACTAAAATTCTGACTGGAACCCTCAAGCCCCAAGGTTCACTGGTGTGCCAACAATCAGCTGCCTGACATCTGTGTTCCCTACTGCTATATGCTATGACAGATGTGGAAATGCCTCAAAAGGCTGAAACCATGATGAAAACTGGAGAGGCCAGGCATGGTGGATCACACCTGTAATTCCAGCACTTTGGGAGGCTGAGGCAGAAGGACTGCTTGAGCCCAGATGTCCGAGATCAGCCTGGGCAACACAGCAAGGACTCACCTCCACAAACAAATAAAAAAAATTAGGTGGGCACAGGCACCTGTTGTCCCAGCTACTTGGGATGCTGAGGCAGAAGGATCACCTGAACTGAGGAGGATGAAGCTGCGATGAACAGTGATCATGCCACTGTACTCCAGTCTGGACAACAGAGTGAAACACCCTGACTCTAAAAAGGGGAAAAAAAAAAGGAGAAGCCGGGCTCGGTGACTCGGCCTGTAATCCCGTGCCTTTGGGAGGCTGAAGTGAGTGGATTGCCTAAGCCCGCGGGTTCAAGACCTGCCTGGGCAACTTGGCAAGACCTCATCTCTACAATAAGTCAAAAATCAGCCAGGCATGGTAGCACACGCCTGTAGTTCCAGTTACTTGGAAGGCTGAGGCGGAAGGATCGCCGGAGCCCAGCAGGTTGAGGCTGTGGTGGCCGGGAGCAGCCACTGCACTCCAGTCTTGGGTGACCCAGAGTGAGACTCCAACTCAAAAAAAAAAAAAAAAAAAGCTGAGAGCACCTTATGTTATTCTAAGTTGCTGAGGTGTGGACCAGGCAAGAGGTATGTACTCATGCAGGGCAGATCTATAATAGGTCTATGTAGGGGTGAGACAGATAAAAGGCCTGTTCAGACAGTACTCCTATCTGTGGAGGCAGCTGGCTCTGGTGTCTTTCCTGTTCTTCCACTGGGAGGTATTGGGGTATAAAAGCATCCAGGTCTACCTCAATCTGTGGCCTCTGCCACAGCCTCAAGTGTACATTCTTTCCTTACAGCATTACATGAGAGAAAGACATATTGAAACAAACCTTCAGCTATAGTTCACTGAGAAACTACTCCTGGTCCGAAGAAAATTTAGGACAACCAATGGAAAAATACACATAAAACAAATTATAGCTAACTTTTATCTGTGGACAGACTGTAGTGTGGGTTAAGTCTTTGCTTTCTGAAGCAACAGGCTCCATTACTTCATTCCTCTGTGGTGCATTTAGACTGCCTCTCAACCCTCCCCTGTTTTGACCTTAGGGCAAATACATAGACAAGAGTCACTAACTTAACCTCAGTTTCTTTGACACATATGCAATTTGATAATACTGAGAAGAATATTTAATTGTAATCATATGATAATACTTATACAGCAGACTATGGTTTAGAAAGCATTTTTACAGCATCATTTTATTTGATCTTCACAACAGTCTACTGAGGAGAACATAATAGAGCATAATTTGCATTTTACAGGTAAGCCGTGAAGTTTAGAGATGAAGAGCTCTCACCCAGGTTAAACAATAAATTAAAAAGCTGGCCAGGTATGGCAGTTCAAGCCTGTAATCCCAGCACTTTGGGAGGCTGAGGTGAGAGGACTGCCTGAGCCCACGGGTTCAAGAACAGCCTGGGCAACTTGGTGAGACCTCATCTCTACAATAAATAAAAAAAAACTAGCCAGGCGTGGTAGCACGTGCCTGTAGTTCCGGCTACCTGGAAGGCCAAGGAGGAAGGATTGCCTAAGCCCAGCAGGTCGATGCTGGGGGTGGTCGTGAGCATACCACTGCCCTTCAGCCTGGGTGATGGAGTGAGACTTCAATTCAAAGAAAAATTAATTAACTAACTAATGAAAGAGCTGAGGATTTTGCCATTCTATGATCTGACACAATAATATTCAGGGGTCATGGCACTGTATGTATTTTACACCTCAGTAAAAAATTAACACACAACAGCAACAACAAAAAAACTTAAAATCTACTTTATTTTTCAGATCCACCTGTTCTTTCTCTCCCCAGACCCACCACAGGGTTTGTACTCAAATATGGTCTCTCACTCTGGGATTATCAACCATCTTATATAAAGTATAATATCTACTTTATGTGACACAGTTGTCACCCCTCCCCAGCAGGCTCAACAACACTGATCTTTGTGTATTTTGGCAAGCCATAGTAAACGTTAATCTTTGCAAGAGTCTTTTTTAAAAGGCAGTTAAAAGCCGGGCTCGGTGGCTCAGCCTGTAATCCCGCGCCTTTGGGAGGCTGAGGTGAGTGGATTGCCTGAGCCCGTGGGTTCGAGACCCGCCTGGGCAGGCGAGACCTCATCTCTACAATAAATCAAAAAATTAGCCGGGCATAGTAGCGCTACTCGGAAGGGTGAGGCGGAAGGATCGCCGGAGCCCAGAAGGTCGAGGCTGTAGTGGCCGGGAGCGGCCACTGCACTCCAGTCTGGGCGACAGAGTGAGACTCCAACTCAAAAATATAAAAGAATAAAATAAAATAAAAGGCAGTTAAGGCTGGGCACGGTGGCTCTTGCTTACAATCCCAGCACTTTGGGAGGCTGAGATGGGAGGATTGCTTGAGCCTGGGAATTTAAAGAGCGGCCTAGACAACATAGCAAGACAGCATCTCTACAAAAAAAAAAAAAAAATTGGCGCACATCCTTAGTCCCAGTTATTGGGGAGGCTGAAGCAGAAGAATCACCTAAGCCCAAAAGCCAAGGTTGTGGTGAGCCATGATCATGTCACTACACTCTAGCCTGGGCAACAGAGTGAGACTCCAACTCAAAAGAAAGAGAAAGAAAAAGGTAGTTAATGTTTAGTTAGAAAAAAATGACCTGCCAATTAAAATGCTCAAGTTCTATTGCATGCTATTATTATTTACAAAATCTATTAAGCAAGGGCTCATATATTTTAAAATCATCCCTCTGCCTTAATTCAAGATAAATTCTAAGACATTTATTCATATTTCTCAATTATTCCCAATGTTGGAAATATGGAACCAAACAAGTGGCTATGTGTCTGTCTGTATGTTGATTCTGCCTGTACATCATAGGTCTTCCTTAACTATCACCTTTCCTTACTGGAAAGAAAACCAGCTACTGTGGCACTAAATCTATGTAGCTTTGGAAGCAGAAAGAAGAGCAATCAGGGTGAGAACTTGGGAGAAACAAGGAATAGAGGACAAATGAACCATATGAAACACCAACAGTGCATCTTTCAAAATCATTCAGTTCTCTAATTTCCATGAATATAACCTTTTTTTTTTTTGAGTTGGAGTCTCACTCTGTCGCCAAGACTGGAATGCAGTGGCCGCTCCC